CCTAGCCTAGGCTAGAACAAACTTACCATTCAAACTTTTATGCAAAAAGTCAGCAAAATATTTCTAATATTAATTTGTTATCATGATGATCATCATGTTATCCTACTTCATTTACTTACCATTTGTACAATATTGGTACCATTACCGTGGGCTAACATGATTGTCTTTTTGGTATTACTTGTTGATTTTAAATAATAATACGGAACATGAAGATCTCCCCTCCTCAACACATTGAAAATACTATATTCTTGTTTGGTTGTTGGAGGTGGATGGAAGGCTAAAAAACTCATCAATTTACGAAGAGGAAAATAAATTCCAATCAAAATTAATGGTATAGGGAGCAGATAATTGGCATTCATTTTGTTTTTAAAAGACATTAGCTATCAAAGACACCAAGTATCTTTTTTTCTTATCTCGTTTAAAATTGTGATATTTAAAAATTCGCGGTCTACAGGATTCGAACCTGTGCGGGTCGCCCCAATTGATTTCTAGTCAATCACCTAGAGGATCCCCCACTCGGTCAAGACCGCTTCACATTCATTAAAAACAATTATCATTCATATTATTGCCAATGTAGTATTTGTTGATTTATTGCTGGTGGAACGAAGAATGAATTATTCAATAGAAAAAATGTCAACATTACTCAAGTCTTTACTGCCCAACAATTCATCAACAAGAACATCATCGATAAATAATAATTTATCAATATTACATAATAATAATAATAATAATAACAATCCGAGCAACAACAAAATTCCAACATTATCAAATAATAATATTCAACCCATTCAAAATAACATCAACAACATTACAAATAATAATAATAATAACAACACTAGTAATACATCATCATCCATACCTTCATCATCACCAATACCAACACCAACAACAATAATAATAGATCCAATACTTGTACAATTTTATAAATATATATGTGAATATAATCAAATAACAAAACATGAAGATTTTGATAAAGAAATTCAACAATTACAAGAAAGACTTGATAGAGGATTAAAAATATTAAAAGAAACATTTAAAGATAAAGAATTTAAAAAGGAATTTAAAAATTATTGGATGAATGAAAATAGTGAAAATACAAGACAAGTTTTAATTGTTAAAATTTGTAATCATATTTATAATTCAATAGAATTACTTGAATATCAATCATTTGAATATGATAAAATAGATCAAATTTTATTTAATTTACTTTGTAAAGATTTAAATATTTTAAATTTAATTTCTAAAAAGGAATATTGTATTAGAAAAGATGAAGAAATTATTACTGAACATTTAAATTATTTAAAATTGAAATTTAATCGAGAAATAATCAAGGCTATTTGTCTATTTAAAAAACTTGTACAATATTTTGTAATGAATGGAATTATAATACTTTACAAAAGTATTAAACAAGCTCAATTTTAATCTTCATCTAATAATAATAAACCCATTTCACTATCTTTAACAGTTACAGTTTTAAATGCAACTAATGCTTCTGCTAATATAACAGCAAGTAAATGTTTACAATATCTTGATTCTTTTCTTGTTAAAACTGCAAATGCAAATGAATGACATGTACAATAATTATTGGAAATACATTTGTATGTTTTTTTCAATTTAATTGATCCTCTTCCATGATGTGATGGTTCAACTCCAAATAAAACTCTACCCGATGGTTTGGCAACATATTTCACTACTTTTTCTTTATCAATTAATTCTAATGCATGAACAAGTGTTGTTGATGGAAATAAATTAGCTAATTCTTTTAACATGTCATCATTTACTTTAATAAATTATTATAATAAATATATCAATTTAATATATTGGATGATGAACATTAGATACAACTACTTACAAGTTTTAGAATCTCGTATGGATCGTAATAATATTTCAAACATGTACATTGGTGATGTTGGTTGTATGGTACAATTATTTACAAAAGCATATTGTTGTTGATTAGTTATTGTTGTTTCATTCCGATGTTGTTCATGTTGCTGATGGTCATCATCTTCCATTATATTTGTTTGTTGTGGCATTTTTTCTACTATTTATTGGAATAAACTCTTTTAAAAACGATTAATTATTTATTTTTGATATAATTTTGTACAAGTAAAGAGTGGAAACAGTTAAATTCAAATTAATGAATTAAATGATTCATTCATACCAACTCTTAAATAATTCTAAATATTATTAAAAATCTAAACAGCCATTTCCATTTTAATAGTAGCATGTGGTTCATAATTTTGTAAAGTTAAATGTTCAAATTTAAAATCATCAATATTAGTAATGGAAGGATCAAGTAATAAAAGAGGGAAATGTTTTGGATCTCTTTCAATTTGTTTTTTCAAAGGTTCAATATGATTCTTATAAACATGTGTATCACCCAATGTATGAATAAAATCACCAGGTTTTAAATTACAAACTTGTGCCATTAATCTTGTTAATAAAGCATATGATGCAATATTAAATGGAACACCTAATCCCATATCACATGATCTTTGATACATTTGACAACTTAATTCATTAGTATCTGTATCTACCCAAAATTGACACATTAAATGACAAGGTGGTAATGCCATATTAGGTAAATCTGATACATTCCATGCAGATAATATAATACGTCTATTAGTTGGATTATTCTTTAAAGTTTCAATACATTTCTTCAATTGATCAACTCCCTTATTTGTATAATCTGTATGCATATTTTCATATGAACTACCCCAATGTCTCCATTGAAAACCATAAACAGGACCCAAATCCATCTCTTCACGATTCTCAAATCCCAATGAATCTAAATATTCTCTCGATCCATTTCCATCCCAAATATGAATATCTTGTTCAGATAAAATTTTAGCATTTGTACTTCCAGAAATGAACCAAAATAATTCTTTAGCAACACCTTTCCAAAATACTCTTTTAGTTGTTAATAATGGAAATACATTATTTCTCAATGAATATTTCATTTGATATCCAAATTTAGAAACTGTACCAACACCTGTTCTTTCTTCACGTACATTTATATCTGATAATATTAATTCTTTAATAATATCTAAATATTGAAATTCTTCATGTCTTCTTTCAAATGTAATAAATTCATAATGTGAAATTCTTTCATTATTTTTAGGTAAAATTTTATCAGATTTATCAACTGCAATAAATTGATTAGAATTAATTGGTACATTTCTATAATCACTTGATGGTAATAATCTAATTGGAAATCTTGTATCTACTTGAATATTTACTCCTTTTTGTTCAATTATATTTGTATAATGAATAACTGCTGTATATGGTAATAATAATTTATAAATACTTGTACCACCTGCTATAAATATACGATTAAACTTTTGATTTTGTAATAATTCAAATAATTCATCAACATTTTTAACAAATGTTGTTCTTTCCATCATTAATTGATCATCATCATTTACTTTACTAGATAATATAATAGCATGTCTATTCTTTGAGAGTGGTTTAAATTTTGATGGAATTGATTCCCATGTTTTTCTACCCATAATAACAGCATTCATTAATTGATCATTAATTGTAGTAGTATTATCATTTGTATTATCACTTGTTATAGGTGATGATGATGATGATTGTTTATACATTGAAGGTGAAATAAATTTTAAAGGCTCTGATGAACAAGTGACAGATACAAAATGTTTCATATCTTCGGTTAAACCATCTTGTAACCATGGTAAATTACCATTTAAACCAATACCATTGGAATTTAATAAAACTGCAACAACGGCTTCCATAGGAGGAATTGATGAAGCCTTCGGAAGATTTGATGTTGATTGCATCATTTTTTTTCTTTGTTCTTTTTCAGTGTTTGTGATGGTGGGAAAATATTTAACGGATAGTTTTTGAATTTTGGCGCCTTAAATTTCTATTGGACTAGCCACGATTTATCAACTTTTTCACTAATCAGTTGAGAGATAGGTGAGAATTGATTGGAGTGTTTTTACAAAATCATCTCATTCCAATATCACAAAGTGAAATTTTACTAAGAAGATAACAACCTGTATATTTTTGGCGCCAAAATTGAAATACCTTATCATTCAAAAAAAAGCCTTATATTTAATCTCTTAATAAATTCATCATCATCATCATGAGAAGTCGTCCCAATTCAGCCTCATCATCAAGAGGATACACAACACATTCAATTCCCTATCCTACAACAACCATTTCATCTATTTTGAATAATAATAATAATGGAAACATAACACCATCCTTCTCATCTCTTCTTCAATCAGCATCATCTTCAAGCCTTCCTCATTCCTTATCATCATCAAATATTTCAACTTTTAATACTAGTAACCATCATAATCGTACTTTATCCAATAATTCATCTAATAATACTAATATATCATCAAGTGCCTCAATTAATACTCATAACAATTCTTCTACTCCTACTCCAACTATTAATAACAATTCATCAACAAATTCAACAACATTATATTTAAATAATATAATACTTGATAATGATGATCAAAGTTCATTATTTAAAACAGATTTAAATACAAATGAAATAATATTATGTTTTCAATTATTAAATGAACAATTAAGAAATTATATTGTATTAAAAAAAATTACCTCAATTAGTCATTTATATTTAGAAAATAATAATATAAATAGAATTGAAGATACAATCAGAAAATTAAATAATCCAATTCAATTTTTACAATATTTAAATTTAAGTAATAATAATTTAACAAAATTAAGTTTATTTAATATTGTTAGATTATTTCCAAATTTAGAATTTTTAATATTAAAAAATAATTCAATTTCAAATATAAATAATTATTCAATTCCTATATATGGTAATATTAAAGTATTAGATTTAAGTAATAATAAACTTAAAAAAATTGAAGGAATTTTACCATTAAAATTTAGTTTACAAATTTTAAATATACAAAAAAATGAAATTGAAACATTTCAAGATATGAAACAAGTTCTAGAATTGGAATTATTAACAAATATAGATTTTAGAGGAAATCCAATTAAATCACTTGATGAAGAAAATTTAATTTTTGAAGAAATTTTAGATAAATGTTCAAATGTTTGGTTTATTAATGGTGCAACTACTTTAGCATCTCCTTTAATAGAAGATGATAAACATTCTATAAATGGTAATACATCTATTAATAATAGTTTTGAATTATCTTTACAATCTAATAATAATAATACAAATAATAATATTACAAATAATATAATTAATAACAATGATAAAAATGTAAATGATGAAAAATTAAAATCAGCAGAAGAATTATTAAAGAAACATAGTTATATTATTGAACATTTAAAAACACATAAAACTAATATTCCAACATTTAGTAATACTACCATTACAAATAATACATTGATCAATAATAACAATTCTAATAATAACATTACATCCAATAATAGTAATAATACTACAATATCAACTCTAACCAATCAATCAACAACTATCACTTCCACTACTCCAACTACAACAACAACAACAATATATAATGATCCAGCAATACTAAAGAATTTAGCTAATTTTGCAAAAGCAAGAAGTAAAAGAAGTGATAGTTGTCCAACTATACCTTCACCTAATAGTAGTAAATCATATCAACAACAAGATTTAAATCCAATACGTGATGATAATGAGGATGTTGTTGTTCAACATTTAACACATTCAATTTCTTCAAATTTATTTGAAAATATTTCTAAAAGTCTTGAAAAGGATAAAAACTCATTAAAATTAATGGAAGTTAAAAATTTTGAACGACAAGTCAGAAATAGACAACAATCAAGAGCATTACAATTAGAACAAGATAAATTTGATTTAAATCAAGAAGATTCATTTTTATCAAATTATCAATCTATTTTATCACAACAGAAAAAGAATACTATAAATATCAATAATGCTATCATTAATACAAATAGTAATACATTTAATAATTTATTATTGAATAAAGAAGATGATGAAGAATTATCCTCTCCACCAATTGAAACAGTTAAAGTTGAATTACCTTCATTAATGGAAAAAGCATCAACAATTACTTTACAAAAATTACAGGTATTAATTGATTCAAATACTGCACCACCAACACCACCTTGTAAACAAAGTATTACACCACCAAAAGAATTAATTACAACTCCTCAAAATAATGGTATTAACTCTAATAATAATTCATCCAATCAACAAGTTTCACCCACATTGAGTACAACTTCAAGTTCATCATCTAATTCTAGTAATAATAATACTAAAAATAATTATAATAATAATAATTCAACATTGAATATTTCTGCAATTCCACATTCATTGAATCAATCAAATATTTCAAACATTTCAATGAATTTATCACAAATTAATACAAGCTTTTTTAATTCAACACCAACAACACAAGCAACAAATATTACAATCAATTCAAATGTCAATTCTAATTCTTCAAATGTAACAAATAGAGCTTTATCAATTAAGGAAAGAGCAAAACAAAATATGTTAAAGAAATTAAATATGTAATTTTAATCATTTTCATTAAGAGAATAATCTTCATATATTTGTGAAATGGTTCTATTTTCAATGGTTGATAATTTTTCTACTAGAAATTGTCCCAAATCTTTAATCTTGTTATATTCATGGAATTTATCAATTTTAGTCTTGTTCATTTCCTTCAATTCTCTAGAGAAATATTAAAATACAAAGGTTGTAATATTTCAAATATTGTAAAACTTACTCTTCTTTTTCTTTTAAAATCTTGGTTTCTCCTTCCAATTTAAAGAGTTTGTCTTTTTGTAATATTAACTGATCAATTTCATCATCAGTTAAATCCAATCTTTTAAATATTGGGGTTGAGGATTGTGAAGGTTTGGACATTTTCATTTTCTTCTTGGGTTGAATAACTATAATTGGTTCTTCCTCTTCTTCATTTGTATTCAATTGTTTAGCTTCTTCATCTCGTGTTTCCTCAATTTGATCAAAATAAAATTCATCATTCTTTCTCTTAATTTCATGTCTAATCATTGAAATCTTCCCATAGTTTTGAATTGGTTTAGAATTATAAATTACTAGCTCCTTTTCAATTTTTGGCTCTTTCTTTGGTTTTTTGAGTGGATTTTCCTTAGATGAAAGTCTGAATGGTTTTGGAAGTGGAGGTGGAAAGAATTTCACTCTTTCATCATCTGAATTCCTCTCACTCACTTGAATGGCAGTTCTTTTTGTATGTTCAATCTTTTCTAATTGTACAGGAGATGATGGAATATTATCAAACATTGTGTTTGGTGAGTAACAGAAATCATCTGTTATCATTTGATTATTCTTTTCATTTTGCAAATATTTTCTATAAATCTCTCCTCTTAGTAAGCTTTGAATTGTTTCAATCATTTCAAACTTGTTCTTCATATCATTTCTTACAGAGGTTCCTTTACAAATGGTTTTCATTGGCTCAATCGTATTTTTCAATTTAAACATGTCTTTTCTAATAAAAGCAGATTGAACTAATGTCTGGATAATTTTAAACATTTCGACGACCTTGTTCATTTCCATTTTCACTGAATTTTGTCTCCATCTTGCTTGAATATTATTTAGCAGTTCCCTGTTAGCATTGAATCTTCTTCTTTCTAAATATCCATTAATGAAACACTCAATAATTTCACTCTTCTCTTTAAATTGATTATTTTCCAATATTATTTCTTCACAATCTTGGATTGGTTGAATTATTTCAGGAAAATCTTCAATGGAAATCTCAATGGAAATGTCGTCATCTTCCATCCTATCTTGAACAACTGTTTCTAGAACATTAGTCTCAATCAAATCTTGATTAGTATCAACGAGAGTTTGATTTTCTATTTCATCACCTTCATATTGATCTATTTCAATGATTGGAGATTGTACAATCAATTGTTCCTCTTTCGTATCTAATTCACTAGCGTTTAATTGTTCTTCATCATCGTAATTATTTGCTAGTTTGCACTCTTCACCAACAATAGACTCCACCTCTTCATCTAAATAAGTTACAATTTCATCATGTTGTTCAACATGTCCAGTTGATACGTTATCATTCACAAGTTCATCTTCTTGGAATTGTAGACCTTCTTGTTGAATACATTCTTTCTTATTTATTTCTTCATCTTCCTCAAACTCTAATTCTGGGACAGTTTCATTTCTACATTCACTTTTTAAATCTTCAAATTCTAAACATATTTCTTCTTCCTCTTTCACAGGTTCTTCTTCCTCAATATTATCATCAATAATTAATTCCATTTCTTCTTCAACTCTTTCAATTGTTTCTTCTTCATTATCAATATTCATAAAATCATCTTCAACATGTTGAATAGTTCTCCTCCTTGTTGTATTCAATGATTCGTCTAGTTTCTTCTCTGAATCAAATTCATCAAATGTTTCTTTTTCACTTTTTGAAAAAGGCTTTTTCTTATCATCCACCTCATCATCATTAAATTCTAAATCATCATTGAATTTGAAATTATTAGTCAATTTATGAAAACTTCTTCTTCCCTCTTCAATATCATCTTGTTCACTCAAACAATCATCATAAATATTAGAAGGAAACATTGGATGTGAACGTGTAGTATGAACACTCATCACTGTTAACGCATCTAAATTACTTAATATATCTCTATCACTTTTGTGTTGTTGATCATCTACTAGAATGGAATGATGATGATGAGAGAAATGATGAGAAGATAAATCATCACAGTGAAGATGATGATGATTATGTGAGGCTTCGTGATGATGATGATTGTGAATTGATGATAAATTAGCCTTAGAATGAATGGAATGAATATCATCAGATGATGATTTATGATACATTTCTAAACATGTTTTACAATTACATTGAAGAAAACTCTTTAAAGTTTCATCTTGTATTTCATCATCGATCATTAGAGTAGTATTACCACTCACTACTGATAAATTGTCATCTGACATTTTTTTTAGCCTTATTTAAAATCTTAAAATTATTAATAGATTAATGAAACAAACCTTTGAAAAAAAGTACTAAGATTCTACACAAACAAGAGGTTATGAATCATTGCAGGTAAAATAGAATAGAAATCAAATATTAATGCTTTGATTATGTGATAAGAATTCCACCTAAAAACAAATCAAAATTTCTAATTAATTTTATTTTAATTTCAAAAAAAAGCAAGGAGGATCTTACACTGTGTTCTCTTGATCATCATTCAACACTCGTCATCATTTACATTAAATTTTGTGGATAAAAACAATTGATCAATCATATATATTACATTACTACTATTATAAATACAACAACAACAACAATAATAATAACAAATGAATAATCCACCTCCACCACCTCATCATCAATTGTATGGAGGTTTAGCACCACCAGGTTTACCAGGAGTATCATCAGGAGGACAATATCCTAGTCTACAACCAAATCTATTCTATCCAGGTACAATACCACCACTCACTTCATTTACTAGTAAATATCAACCAACATCTCAACAAGGCTCAACACCTGGTGGTTTACCACCACCTCATGGAGCTTCACTATTTCCACCACCAATGTATTCTAATGCCTTGATGCCTTCTTCAACAACATCTGCTGCAACAGGTAAATTAGGTGGATTTGCACCATCAGCATTTGGATCATTACCATTCAATACTCAACCAACAACAACAACAACACAATTTAAAAGAACAAGAGAAGAACAAGATGAGGATGAAGAGGAGGAAGAAGAGGAAGAAGAGGAATCTGAAGAAATTCATTCATTTCCACCTCCACCAACAAGTAAACAAATTCCACAAAACAATTTAAGAAGTGCTACTGCTCCTGCTTTACCTCAATTTATGCCAACTCAACAACAATATTCTAAACAACCTCCACCACCTCTTCCAAAGATGAATGTACCTCCACCACCACAACCTTCAATAGCAAATTCATTAGCTTCATCCAATATTACCAACACCAACACCAGCACTTCTTCATCTAAAGAACAACAAACAAAGGAAAAGAAGCCTAAGAAACAACCAAAGCCTAAAAAATCAAAGAAGGATCAATCTAATAATTCTGATCAAGCCTCCAATGTACAATCCAATAATAATAATAATACTAGTAATACTAATAACAATAACTCATCATCATCAACAACAACAACCAATACAACAATTAATACAACATTACCACCTGTATTAAATATATATGGTCCATTTACAAGTGCAGCTAATGCATTATTTGGAAATGATTTAATGTATGATGAAAGTATTAGAAAATTAGGACAATTTATATTTTCACTTTCTGAAACTGATAATATAGAATTGGAAGGTAAAGTTGGATATTTAATAGTTAAAGATCGTAAACAAAGAATGATACCACAATTAACAAATGGAAGTCATTTATTATCAGAAGTAATAGTTCATAGATCTAAAGATTGTGAATTTCAATCAAGAATTCCACCTGAAATATTTAAATATGTAAATAATTTATTAAATGAAAGATATAGTTCATTACAAGATTTAAAAAAGAAGAAACAATATAATGGACCAATAATAACCTATGGTAGATGTAATGAAACTGATAAATTTTATGAATATTATTTACCACCTTCAGAAGATGATGTTAGAAATGAAGAAGGTGAATTAGATCATCGTGATATTAGAGTTACATTTGATACTGAAACTGATAAACCAATACGTGCAATGATAAAATCAAGACTTGAAAATGGTGATATTGATTTTTCATGTCCACACAGAGTTCATGATTTTAGAATTTCATTTAGAAGAGAAAAGAAAATTGATAGATTTCCAGATTTAAATGTTGATAAACCAAAGAAAATTAGAAGAAAATCAAGAATTTCATACACTTTTGGTATTTGTAGAATTGATTTAACAAGTGTTGAATCTTTTAATTGTCATAAGAATGGTGAAATTATTGAATCTACAAAATTATCTACTTTTGAAATTGAAGTTGAATGTGATACAAGAGTTATTTTTCAATCTAAATCACGTTTATTTGATTTGGTAAATTATTTAAAGGAATTTTTAGATATTGTAAGAATGTTATGTCTCATTTGTGAACAACATTTACCAAATTCAATCAATAATAATAGCAGCAGCAGTAGTACTAGACAACCTCCACCTCCTGTTCCAATGGTTGCTAATAATTCATCACGTACTGCTTCTTCTTCTTCTCATCATCAGCAACATCAGCAACAACAATATGGAAATAATAGAAGATAAAATTTTATTGTAAAATTATAAAAAATATTAAATAAATAATTAATTCAATTTTGACCAAACAGGTGGATTAATTCTTGAATAAATAATCTTGAAAATGGCAACAACAGAAGTTGAAGCAATGGTAATGACAATAGATTTCCACCAAAAATCAAAAGTCATAATAAAAGGTAAATCAAAGTAGGAAGGTAATAAAAACATTGAACCAATATAAATAGAAATTGATAAAATTTCAGATAAAATAATTAAAGGATTAAATTTACGATGTACTTCAATAGAAACCATTACAACTTCTGTTAAAATTAAAGCAGTAAATGAAATTGTTTGAATTCTTAAAAAATTATTTTCAAATAAAAATATTGCTAATATCATTATAATACCACCTTGATAGGTTGCTTTTAAACACCAAATTAAAAATGTTTTAAATGATAAAACTCTTCCTTTTTGTAATTCTTTATATAATTCTGGAAATAAATAAACTGTACTTCTTTTAACATCTTCGTCTAAAATTAATGAAAATACTGAAAAATTAGTATAATATGTTGCATATCCAACAAGTAGCCATCTATTATAAAATTAAAATAATAAATAATAAAATTAAATTATAAAATTAAATAAATAATAAAAAAATTGTAAATATTAAATAAATAATAAAAAAAACATACCCAGTAAAAATAGCAATAGTAGAAAAATAAAACATTGAACTAAATATAGCTTGTATAACAGATATAATTAAACCTCTATGTATAATAAATTGAGATAAAGCAGCTGATCTCTTATAAGAATTTCTACCATGCCATAAAATTAAATCAGTACAATATGAAAATTGATTAATTGAAAAATCAGCAGCTAATGAAGCATGTTTACCTTCTTTACCAACAATACCAATACCAACATTAGCATTTAATATCATTGATACATCATTACCACCATCTCCTATTGCTGCTGTTTGTTTTCTAGTTAATTTTTTAACAAGTGAAACTACTTGAGCTTTTTGTGTTGGTGAACATCTACAACAAATAACTGATGTTGCTTTACATGCTATTTTTATAAATTTATCTCCTAATTTATCTAATGCTATTTGTAATGTATCTCCATCTATAATTAATCCACAATTAATTGTATTATTTAAATTTAAATTATTATTAAAATTATTTGAATTATTAAAATTATTATTTGAATTATTTGAATTAAAATTAAATTGATTAAAATCATTTAATTGATTAAATTCATCTAATAAATTATTAATATTATTTAAATCTAAAGAAATGATTTGAAATATTTGTTGATTTCTTGAAACTAATTTAGTAGATCTACTAATACAAATAGCAGTTTCAACTTTATCACCAGTTAACATCCAAATTTTAATTCCAGCATTTCTTAATTGTTCTAAAGATTGTTGTACATTTTCTTGTAATAAATCTTCAACTCCTGATATTCCTATTATATTTAAATCACCTGAATCTAAATATTTATTTTTAATTCTATCAATTTCTATAATTCTATCATTAATTAATGATGTTGCTTTTTTATATTCATTTATAAATTCTAAATATTCTATTTTACTTAATTTTTTATATCCAAATACAAGTGTACGTAATCCTTCTCTTGCCATATTATCTGCTTCTTCATCTAACCATTCTAATTGTGATGTTTTTATTAATTTTTTCATTATTGAATCTGCTCCTTTACAATAATATATTATTTCTTCATTTATATTATTTATATTATTTATATTATTTATATTATTATTTATATTATTATTATTATTTAAATTATTATTAAATTTTCTTTTAATTATAATACCCATACGTTTAGATGAACTTGTAAATGGAAATATATTTAAAATTTCATAATTTTCAAATTCATTATTTGGATTACGTAATGTCATTTGTGTTAATGTTCTATTTTCTAATATTAATCCACTTTGTTCTGCAAATTTAACAAGTGCTATTTCATCAGGTGATGATCCTTGATATTCTCTTTCTATATTTATATTATTATTTATATTATTTAAATCATCTAAATTATCATCTATACTATTATTCATATTATTCATATTATTATTAGATTGTATGATAGGTGTAACATTATGACATAATGCAAGTGCTTTAATAAATTCTTTAATTTGATTATCATTTGAATTATTAGAATTATTTATATAACAATTTGTTACATGTTCTTTAACTTGTTCAAATCCATCTTCATTATATGATATATTACCTAAATGTAATTTCTATTAAAATTAAATTAAAAAATAAAAATAAAAAATAAATTAAAATTAAAATATTAAATATAATTAAATATAAATATATATAAAAATAAATTACCTTAAATACCAGGTATTTTTTTATCTTTCATAATAAAAAATGAATAAACTGTTTTACCCATATCTAAATTAACTCTTAAACTAATTGGTATAATTGATGAAAATAGTAATATAAATCTAAATATAGTAATATACCATAATCCTTGAAATTGTTTTAATGCTACCATAAATATACTTATTATTACCATTAATATAAATAAAAATTTAGAAATTGTATTTAATTCTTGATCTAATTTTCCTACTTTGGATCTAGGTTGACTTGCATTTAATGAACTTCTTGTTTCTCTCTTTAAAATATTTAAATATATTTAAAAATTAAATATTACAATTAAAAAATTTAAAATGAATATTAAAATAAATATAATTAAATATTTAAAAATAAAAACATACACCTGTATAAATAACTAAAGCTATAATAGTACCAGTAGCAACAACAGTATTTGCCCATAAAGTATTTTCTAAAGATAAACTTTCAACAATTTTAACATTACCATCAATATCATAACAAGTAAAATTACCTAAAAAATCATAAATATCCTTTTTAGGTTTTTCAATATATAAATTAGCAATAATTTTTCTTAATTGATTTAAATGTAATTTTTGAGTAGTTGGAATAGCATGTCTTAATTTTTGATCAGTTTCACCATCTAATTGATCTGTTCTAATAAAAGATGCACCTGATTTCTCTGTTGTTTTTAATAAAATACAATCAGCTGGTATTCTTTGATTACTTTCTATTTGAATTAAATCTCCAACTTGAATATTTGATGATGGTTTTTTAATAAAATTATTATTTATATTATTATTATTTAAATTATTATTATTATTTAAATTATTTAAAACATTATATAATTGTGAATTTGATTCTAAATCTCTTTTATATCTTTTTAAATCATCATATAATTCTTTTAATAAAGTAACAGATAAAACAAAAACTAAAGGAGCAACATAGGTAAATAAAAAACCAACTTGTAATTGTGGAATTATTTGTGAAAGTGCAACAATTAAAAAATATAAATTAAAAAAAAATTTAAATTGTTCAAATAAAACAAGTGGTAAAAATGTAAATAAATTATATCTACGATTTTTAATTTCATTTTTAGGATATTTTTGATTTTTAGGATAAGTTAATCCATTTGGTAAAAATATACTTCTACTATAATATTTATTTGTTTTTAATAAATAATCTTTAATTTTTATAAATATATTTCTATTATCATAATTTAAATTATTTAAATTATTATTATTATAATTCACAATTATTATAATTTAATTTTATATTATCATATAATGGTATTTCATTGTTATTATTAAAACTATTTAAATTATTATTTAAATTATTTAAATTATTATTAATTAAATCATCATTATTAATTAAATTAATAGAATCTAATGTTCGATAGGATGATTTATTTTTTAATATATAAATAGATTCATCATTATTCATTCTTTTATAATGATGTTGATGTTGATGATGATTATATTCTTCTTCTTGTTCTTCTATTAAACCTATACAATTATTATCTATATATTCTAATTCCTCTTCTTGTTTATTTAATAATTGATAGGAATTATTAAATTTCATAAAGATTTATATTCCTTTTCCTATTATTATTATTATTATTAGTGATGATGATGTTATTGTTATTGTTGTTATACAATGTGATGATGACAATATGTGTTTTAATTTACTACTAATAATAATCTACTACTATTTGATGATAGAAGAGTGATAAAATATAATACTCTCTTGAATGTTGCGAGAGTGATGAGACAATATATTTTTTTTTTAAATTTAAACTGAATGATAGACACCACTGTTTCTAATTAACTTCTAATCTTTTTATTAGAAGAGAATAGAATAAATATTTAAATGGTTATTTTAAGGTATTGAATAAACTTAAGCAGTGTTGTTAGTTGTCAATTTAAACTTGTGAGAATGGTTTTTAAAAAGAGAGAAAAACTATAGGAGTGTAATGATATAATCAACACATTTATTAAGGATGATATTGTTTTACATTCATAACGATGATAAAGTTCAGAATATGATTATCAAAATATACTTAGATGTTTGTATATTTGGGAAAATTGAGATATAAAGTACATCAATAATCAAACAATTCTAAGATGATATTCTATCAAATGTTCAAATATTATTATTATTATTATTATTTAACAAATGTTGACCTTCAATTGAATTGTGTAAGGCAATGTTGATCAAAAGAACACACAAATAAAGTCATGTGAACATTATTAGAATTAATTACAGTGAATCTTCTTGTAACCAAATGACTTTCCGAATTGTAGTCAAGTTAGATTTTTTGATGATAGGAAACATTGCATGACCGTTAGGTCGTGTCATCATCCAATCAACGTGTTGTGGCTTCACTAAGGCTTTCGAAACAAAAGCAAAAAAGCGAAATTTGAAGAATCTTCAAAAGGGCGCATCCATGTTCACATAATAGGTCTTGTTCACTCTTTAAAATCTCCCTCTCAATTTAATATTCAACAAAAAAACAACAATATTAAAACAAGCCTTGTTTTCTATTTAACGTACATTCCAATTTTATGTCCCACATTGACAACCCTCCAACTGATACGGAAATTATTAAAACATTAAATCCCTCTTCAACTAATACTGTATCATCAATTCCCCAAGTATATCAACAACAACAAGAACAACAACATTATTGTACACCAGAATGTAATCATAGTAATAATACTCAACGTTATTCTCCAACTGTTGTATTTGGTAAACAATTAATTAATAATAATAATAATATACCAATATATAATGTAACAAGTACACCTCCAACAACTACAACTACAATAACAACAATGGATGAAGATGATATATTATCACCAACATCATTAGCAATGAATCATTTAAATAAAAAGAAACAAACAAAGAGAGGTATTGGTTTATGGAAAAAACAAGAAAAACGTTTATCAGTTAATACTAATAATTATAATAATATTAATTCTAATGATGTATCACCTAATTCTATTGATACAAGTAATATTTTAAATGATATTATTAATAATACTAAAAATAGTCATTCACCTGATAATAATATTTCTAATAATAATAATAATTTAAAATATTTAAATAATACACCTTCTAATAATAATAATAATAATAATTCTAATAATACACCTTCTAATAATAATAATTCTAATAATGAAATGAATAATTCTAATAATGAAATGAATAATTCTAATAATAATGAAAATAATGAAAATAATATGAATATAAATGGATTTAATCCATTTGGTACACCAGAACCACTTGTACCACAAAGTCCAATTCAAAGTATTGGAAGATCATTTTCATTTCATACATTAAAAGAGAATGGAAATACAGAAGTAGTATTTGTACCACATTCATTAGAAAATTCACAACATTGTTTTCATTGTAAAGATCATGAAGAAGAATTACAATCATTTGAAATTTATGATAAATTATTAATGAATAATATAGAATATGTTAGAGAAAAGACTAGAATTGATTCTGAATATTTTAAAAAACATAAACAAACACAAAAACCTAAATTTTTATTAATTGGATGTTCAGATTCAAGAGTATCATGTGAAAGTATTGTAAAAATAGATCCAGGTCAAATGTTTATACATCGTAATGTTGCAAATATTGTTGTAAATACAGATTTAAATTTAATGTCTGTTTTACAATATGCAGTTGAAGTTTTAGAAATTAAACATATTATTGTAATGGGACATACAAGATGTGGTGGTGTTAAAGCTGCATTAGAAAATACTTCACATGGTTTAATTGATAAATGGTTAAGAAATATTAAAGATGTTTATAGATTACATAAACAAGAAGTTGATTCAATTCAAGATGAAGAAAAAAGATGGCAACGTATGATTGAATTAAATGTTATTGAACAAACTTTAAATATTTGTAAAACAAGTATTATACAAAAAGCATGGGCAAAAGGTAAACCAATTCACGTACATGGTTGGGTTTATGACATTTCATCAGGTTTAGTTCAAGATTTGGAAATTGAAGAAAATTTATGGGCTCCAATTGAATCTATTTATCGTATTGAATTTCCAGATGTTGATAATTATGTACATGAATAATGATTGTATTTTAAAAATCCAATTAATATATAAAATAATTAAATTTATTAAGATTTAAATCTGAAAATCCTAGAGTAGAAGAATGAATTTTTTGAACTTGTATGTTCTTTATTAAGCAAATTTCATATTTCTACAGCAAATCAAATTTGGTTGGAGGTCGCTACTTTTGAACCTGATAAATTTCCATGCTTATTTGGACTATTTTATTTCACTTCCAATTAAGGACTAAACAACCGCTAATATCACCTTATGGTAAATTAACAACACACTAAAGTTTTCACGGTAAGGTAGTAGTGCTATTAAACTCTACTTGTGTTCATTGAAATATTCAAAAAGAAGAAAAAAAATGAAGTCTCTCGTAGTATTACTGTGTTATATGGTATTGTTACATGTTGTATTTTATCTGTTGCATCTAATTGAGGCCTCAACAAAACCTTCCTACTATATTACTAAGGTTGGTGGTTCTAAACAATGTGATGGTGCCTTAGCAGTGAATGCTCTGTTAGGTGGTCCTAGTCATTTAACATTCAATCAAGATGGTGATCTCTTTGTAGCAGAATACGTGTTTCATCGTATTAGAAAGATTGATAGATATGGATACATTTCAACAATTGCTGGACAAATGACGAAGGGAAGTGATGGAGATGGTGGTTTGGCTACTGCTTCACAGATGAATTCTCCTCGAGGAGTGTTTTTTGATGATGTAACTGGTAGTTTGTTTGTTGCGGATACTAACAATCACAAGATTAGAAAAATTGATAATTTTGGAGTCATTTCAACTGGTAAGTTTGAAAGTTTAAAATATGATTAAGTTGTGTTAGTGGCTGGAAATGGTTCTTGTGGATATGATTCAGATGGAGTTGATGCAAGAACAACCAGATTGTGCTCTCCTGTTCATGTTTCTTTGAATCCTGACAGGAATATAATTATTGTTGATTCTGACAATAACCGAATTCGAATGGTTGATTCCTCTTTCAAAATTACAACCATTGTAGGAACTGGTATAGATACACCATTTGCTGATAATCTTGTAGCCACTTCTACAAACATTA